TATATGAAGCAACTCTTTTAGGCATTATATACCAGGCAGAAGAGGACGACATTATTTTGAGAGAAGGGATTCTAATGAAATCAGCCACAAGTTCAATTTGAATTTCTTATTGGGAGACTTTTCCTCATACGGCTTAAGTCAGTGGATTCCAATTGGAGCATTTGTATTGATGAATTGAAGAAACAAGGAACAAAGTTAAAGGCTGCTGAAAAAGTTGAAATTTGCTTGCGGAGTACTAAAAAAGAGGAAATTATGACATTCCAAAATGGTCACAACTTAGCAGTAAAGACCAGACCCTAAAATAAGAGCAATGCCCTAGGACTATGGATAAAACTAATAGTCTTGCCCAAACAAAGAATAAAACCTAGAATTACAGGAAAAAAAGAACAGAAGGTAATTTAATTTCCTGACAAAAACAAAATGTAACAGCCTTGAATGGATGATGATATAATCATCTTAAAAACTATCATCTACAATACAGTATTCCTTGATATCTGGTGGGAGTTGATTCCAGGATCCCTGCAAATACCAAAATTCACAGATGCTCAATTCCCTTTCATAAAATGGCAGTACAGTTGGCCTCCCCATATCTGTGCATTCTACATCCACAGATTCACTCAACTGCAGTAAGTCTTGTTTGGTTGAATCTGAAGATGTGGAACCTGCAGATACGGAGGGCTGATAGAAATGAGAATATTGAAAATTTTTAGTCGTAAGAAGTATGATAAGATGGACTGTAATTTTAAAAATGTATCAATAGAAACAGATTCTGGATTAAGTCTGAGTTACTAGATAAAATTTAAGAGTAACTATTGTAAATATATTCAAAGAATTAAAAGGAAATGGATATAATTGGTAGTAAATATGTAATCTCAGAAGAATAGTAGAAATTACATAAAAGAAATGCATAGGAATAATAGACATGGAAAGTACTATATCTGCAATGAAAAACTCACTGCATGGAATTAACAAGGACCATAGACAATGAGAAGCCTCTGGCACCAGTTTCTACTGCAAACATTAAACTTAGCCAAACTTCTAGATTTATTAACCTAAAATCTCACATCTAAGACTTTTATCTCAGTTTCTATTACGTGAAATGTCGGGTCTGGCTTTCCAGAAAAAAGTCACAAGTCATTCTAAAAGGCAAGACAAAATACAATCTGAAGAAAGAAGGCAAACATCAGAATCAGATTCAGATATGACACATATTTCATACTTAACAGGCAATTCTATATAATTATGATAATTATGTTAAGGGATCTAATAAAGTAAGTTGATAACAAACAAGAACAGATTGAAAATGGAAGCAGAAAGAAGGAACTCTAAGAAAGAATCAGAAGGAAATGCTAGGAATTAAGAGTGCCTCTGACAGGCTCATAAGCCGACTGAATACAACTAAGGGAATAATTAGAGAGCTAGAACATAAACAAATGAGAGCATATCAGCGTCAAATGTGAAGAGAAAAACACAAAGAACACCACAGAATACTGAAGAACTCTGGGACAATTATGTCTTCTTTTGAGAAATGTCTGTTCAAGTCTTTTACACATTTTTAAATTATGTTATTTGCTTTCTTACTATTTAGTTGTTTGAGTTCCTTATGTATTTTGGATATTAACCTCTTATCAAGTTTATTATTTGCAAATATTTTCTCCCAATCCATAGGCTGTTTCTTCACTCTGTTGTTTGTTTCCTTGGCTGTCAAAAGATGCTAATATCCTCTGTGGAGTAGGCTGCTGGGGAAAATAGTGGTTCTAGCCATATGACCAATATCAATAGTTTCCTCATTTCTTTGTTCTTAGGCAAGTCCTGCAATGTCAGGAAGGCAGTCTCATCAGCAATCCTTTCTGGGTGGATATTCCCCATTGTTTTTTCTCAACTTTGTTGCTACAGATTCTTTAGTGGTTCTTCAAGCCTTCTCAGGGCTATTTCATTTTGTGAATAGCTCTGTATATCTTGAGGGGTGGGAGGGTAGAGAATGAAGGCTCCTATCTTCTACTCTGTCACCTTGGTGATGTCACTCCTCTTCCTAAGTTTTGAAGGACAATTCTGCCATGTATCTAATTCTAGTTGATGAGTTGCTTTTCCCTTGCTCCTTTCAATATGTTCTATGTCTTTGGCTTTTGACAGTTTAATTAGAATGTATCTTGTGTGGGTCCCTTTGGCTTTATCCTACTTGGAGTTCATTGAGTTTCTTGTGTTTGTACAGCCATATCTTTCATCAAATTTGGGAAGATTTTAAGACATTATTTCTTTTTTCTTTTTTTTTTTTTTTTGAGACAGAGTCTCGCTCTGTTGCCCAGGCTGGAGTGCAGTGGCGCTATCTTGGCTCACTGCAAGCTCTGCCCTCCGGGTTCACACCATTCTCCTGCCTCAGCCTCCCATGTAGCTGGGACTACAGGTACTCGCCACCATGCCCAGCTAATTTTGTTTTGTATTTTTAGTAGAGATAGGGTTTCACTGTGTTAGCCAGGATGGTCTCGATCTCCTGACCTCGTGATCCACCCTTCTCGGCCTCCCAAAGTGCTGGGATTACAGGCATGAGCCACCGTGCCCGGCCAAGACATTATTTCTTTAAATAATTTCTTCCCCTTTCTTTTTGTCTTCTTCTGGACCTCTCATAATGTATATATTAAGCTTCTTGATGACAACCCATAACTTCCTTAAGTACTGTTTACTTTTCCTGTTTTTTTTCTTTTTGCTCCTCAGAACCAATAATTTTAAATTTCCTATCTTCAATTATATTATTCTTTTTTCTTCTATCTGTTTGATTCTGCTGTTGAATTCCTCTAGTGGATTTTTCAGCTCAGTTATTGTACTTTTCTGTTTGAGAATATGTGTTGGGTTCTTTTAAATAATTTATATGTCTTTGTCAATATTCTTATTTTGTTTATATATTATTTTATGGAATTCCCCTAGTTTTTTTTTACATTGTGCATTATCCCTTCAAGAATAATTAAGACAATTGTTTTAAAATCTTTGTCTAGTAAATCCAGTGCCTATGTTTCTTTATGGACTACTTACACCAAGCTACTTTCTTTTGTTGAATGGGCTCTGTTTGCCTGTTTCTGTGCATGCCTTGTGATGTGTTATTGTTGTATTGAAAATTGTACATTTGAAAAAAATAAGCACCTCTAAGGTTTTTTCTAGGATATTAGGTCATGTCTTGAGCCTTGTACCAGGCTGGAGGGAAAGGTTAAGGTTTTCTCATGTCTCCTCTGGTTATGCATCTTTTTTTAATCCCTGTGTAGATTTTTCCATTTTCCTATATATATAGAGGCTTTCAAATGTCTTAATTTCTCAGGAGTATCACTTCATCTTCTCCTTGGAGACTAAAATATTCTATTGTATTCCTCCACCTGTAATCTCTTGCCTCAGACATGTGGGTCTGTAGTACAGTTCACACAAGCTGTGGTTGCTGTTTCTGTGACTTTCCTTGCCTGAGATCCAAGCTATGCCATTTTTTTCCCATCTGAGCTCTGAGTCTTGGCTCAGGAGAAAGAGACATGAGATCCTGAGGCAGTTCCCAAACAGAGTAGAATATTGCTAATAATATGTATCCTGTGACCTCTGGTTTGAGGGAGGGAATTTGGAACTGAATTGTTGCTTCCTTCTGACCAAACTGTCATGTGCCAGAAATGGCATGGAACAAGGGCAAGTAAAAATGCCAGCCAGGCAGGGTGGCTCATGCCTGCAATCCCAGCACTTTGGGAGGCCAACATGGGGGTACTGCTTGAGGCCAAGAGTTTGAAAGGAGCCTGAGAAACATAGCAAGGTCCCATCTTTAGACAAAAATAAACAAAAAGTAGATGGACATTTTGATGCATGCCTGTAGTCTGAGCTACTCAGGAGGCTGAAACAGAGAATTACTTGAGTCCAGGAGTTTGAAGATTCAGTGAGCTATAATTGTGCCACTTCACTCCAGTCTAAGTGACAGAGTGAGTCCCTGCCTTTCGAAAAAACAAAAGCCACAAAATGGTTCTGTTGTCTTGAATGTGGCTTTTTTATAATCTGGCATTGGCTTTATTGCCGCTGATCTTTGACTATTTTCTAGAGCTTCAATAGAGATTTTAGTGAGTCCTTTTTTGTTTGTTTTTTATGTTTCAATGGGGAGGACTAAGGGCCTGGAGCTTCCTAGTCAGTTATCTTCCTGAAATCACTCCCTTCTACCTAAATTTTTTAATACTTATTCTCAGATTTTGTTTTAAAGATAAATGTATAGCTTACATTGGATACATTTAAAAGTATGAAGTATCAGTAAATATAGATGATAAAATACTACAAATAGAAAGAAGACGGAGCCGGGATCGCGCCACTGCACTCCAGCCTGGGCGACAGAATGAGACTTTGTCTCAAAAAAAAAAAAAGAAAAAAAAAAGTCTCCATTAAACTGGTAAATTCCTCATCCCCTCATCCCACAAATAGCCATAGAGACTGGAGTACCAGCTTCAAAATACTGTTTTTTCTTTTTTCTTTTTGAGCCGAAGTCTTGCTCTTGTTCCCCAGGCTGGAGTGCGATGGCGAGACCTTGGCTCACTGCAACCTCCGCCTCCCGGGTTCAAGAGATTCTCCTGCCTCGGCCCCCCAGTAGCTGGGATTACAGGCGCCTGCTACTACGCCCGGCTAATTTTTGTATTTTTTTTTTTAATAGAGACGGGGTTTTACCATGTTGACCAGGCTGGTCTAGAACTCCTGACCTCAGGTGATCCACCCACCTCAGCCTCCCAAAGTGCTGGGATTACAGGACACCCACCTAGGCCACCGCACCCGGCCTCAAAATACTTTTTTCCTTAGCTGTTTTTATCGAGTGGCCATGTGCCTATGGGAGTGTTCTAAGAAGACGTTAGTCGGGACCCAGAACGTGGGAAGTACTGGTTTCCATATCGATTTGGTGGTGATCGTAAACTGATTCAAATCTCTGAATCCCAACTGCACGCCGCACAAGTATGTTACCATGACTCCATTGCTTTTGCCTAGAGGAAACCATTCAGTAAGGACCAAGCACTAAATAACCAAGGAAAAGGAAGTGAGTCAAGGACGTACTCCTCTTGGTGACAGCGTGGGCTGCTGAGATTTGGGAGTCTGCGCTGGGTCCGCTTGGAGTTCTGAGCGGATGGAAGATTTCAGTCATGTTTGCACCCGCAGTGATGCATGCTTTTCGCAAGAACAAGACTCTCCGCTATGGAGTCCCCATGTTGCTGCTGATTGTTGGAGGTTCTTTTGGTCTTCGTGAGTTTTCTCAAATCCGATATGATGTTGTGAAGATTAAAATGGATCCTGAGCTTGGAAAAAAACTGAAAGAGAATAAAATATCTTTAGAGTCGGAATATGAGACTCCAAGTTTGATGGCTGGAAGAATATTGGAGGACCCAGGCCTTGGGAAGATCCTGACCTCCTCCAAGGAAGAAATCCGGAAAGCCTTAAGACTAAGACAACTTGACTCTGTTGATTCTTTTTTCCTTTTTTTATAAAAAAAATAAAAATGTTATCAACTGGACTTCCTAATATATACCCCTATCAAGTGGAAAGGAAATTCCAGGCCCGTGGAAACTTGGATATGGGTAATTTGATGACAAATAATCTTGGTAAAAGGTCATGTACAGGTTTTTATACTTCCCAGCTATTCCATCTGCAGATGAAAGTAACAATGTTGGCCACGTATATTTTACAACTTGAAATAAAAAATGTAAATACTGCTCCAAAAACAAAAAAAAAAAAAGAAAAAAGAAAAAAGAAAGAAAACATGGCAATATGAATAAATAAAATAGAACGAAAGGTGAAAATTGTATTCTCTAATTTGTAGTTTTTTGAAGGAAGAGCACCTGTGTGTGTGCATGTGTGTGTGCACACATGAGTGTGCACGTGTGCATGTGTACTAGAGCAAGAGAGAGAAAGAGAGAGAGAGATTTAGAGTGTATTATTTAGAGAAAATGTGGTGTTTGCTGCTCTGGATAAATTTTTCCCAGAGGTCAGATCCACTCCAGATTTTACACTGTTTGTTCACATGAGTTAATAAATTCAACATTTTTGCTTAATGTAGCTGTGTTAGTCCCTTTTGTGTTGCTATAAAGGAATACATGAGACTTGGTTATTTATAAAGAAAAATAGTTTATTTTGGCTCATGGTTCTGCAGGTTGTACAAGCATGACACCTGCATCTGCTTGGCTTCTAGTGGGGACTCAGGAAGCTTTTTCTCATGGTGGAAGGTGAAGGAGGAGCCAGTGTATCACATAGTGAGAGAGGAAGTAAGAGAGAGAAGGAGGTGCCAGGTTCTTTTAAACAGCCTCTCACATGAACTAATATAGAGGGAAATTGCTCATCACCAAGGGGATGGCACCAAGCCTTTCATAAGGGATCTGCTCCTATGACCACAATATCTTCCTCCAACATTGGGGACCACATTTCAACATGAGATTTGGAGAGAACAAATATTCAAATCATAATACTAGCTTAAATTGGTATGCAACTAGAGTCCTAAGTACACAAATTATAAACTGCCTAAAATAAATCTAACAACATTTGTGTAAGTTCTATATAAAGAAAACAGCTTTTCTTAAACACATGTAAGTGAGCTTGAATAATTGAGACACAAAATATGTTCCGGGATGGAAGATGCCAATTATTCCTAAATCTATTTATAAATTCAATGCAACACCTCTCAAAATACTAAAAGAAGTGTATTTTATCATGTTTCACTAGAAAAAAGTAATTTGATATCTTAAAATAGGTTGCAGTCTGTAGTTAATTGTGTTAAGTTTGCCACATTTCTTATACATTTGGGACTTTAGAAAATGTTATGATAAAAATCATACATAACTCAACATCATTATATTTACCAAGTGACAGACCACATAAGAATATTTGGATTTGTTTTGTAGTATGATTTCATTGACTCATACTTTTCTACCTATGAGTATATAGAGGATAGTATCTTCAAAGGTTGTTTTCCTTGATAGTAAGCAATACCTATGTGTTTTTCACCTATTGCATTTTGGTTGAATTTCTATATAAACCATGATTAATTTGTACATATTTGCAGTTTTATTTTCATAGGGTACAATATTGTTAATGAGACTTAGGATATTCTAAACATGAATAGAAATTAGACTTTTATAATTTTGATCCAGCCGAAGAATACTCTATTCACATTGCATTTTCCTTCTATTAGAAAAATTCAGTTGGATAGAAAATAGACCTGATTCTTACTTCATATCTGAGTCACTTCTCAGTATGGAATCCATCTGCCAGAGGACACAATTCATGGTCACCCTTTTGTATGAGAGCTGCTTGGCTGCTTCTGAGCAGCATGCTGTCCCTGGTAAGAACTTTATCAATCAAGGTTCTCAAGCTTCAAGGGTCCTTGTGTGACTGAGTCTGTCATTCCTGACTTTCAGGAGGATATGTAGAGCTTATGATCGGAATCAACTTTTCCATCTTGGATAAATTACATGATATATTTGAAAGAACACCATGGGGAGTAAAGTAAAATAGCATTCCTTCTTGGCCTGCATCTGTTGTTATTTTTGGATCACTGGTGACAGTTTTATTGATGATGCATTTTTAAAACAGCCTGTGGAATTATAATGATAGAAAGAACTCCTTGAGAAGAGATCAACATATATTCTAAACTCGGGTGTCCAATTTGTTGGCTTTCCAGCTATACTAGTAGAAGTGGGATGACGAATATGTAAGTGTTTTGGGGGGATTTTCTGTGAATGGTTAGGCCTCATCCTCATTTGCTTATAAAGTGTAATAACGTTCACCACAATTCTTTTGTTCTTTGTCTTCATGTCACTCCCCTCATGTAAGGAAAATGTCTTACAGCTTCTCACCAGAAGTTGTTGTCATAATACCTGTTAAAGCATAGAATTCAGATAGAGTGGAGACCCAGAGATTCATATTATCGACAAGTTAGTGCTAAAGGAAACACACAGATGTAGTCTAGATATTATTTTATGTAATCTTCTCTTGTTATTTTTATTTTTATTGTAACTGACCAATGTACCTGGCCTTCTTTTATAATTATTTTTACCTATCCATTATATAAATTGAGACAAGTATCTTAGAATATGAAACTGTCCTGGATCCACTGTGTTCTTAAGGATCGGGAGCAAAATGAGGTAAAAGCCTGGTAGGTTACTATGGAGCCTAGTATGTACTGTGGTATCATGCTACTTCTATAGCTTTTTACTTACTGATTTGTGGGTACTCAATTTATTGTGCTATATCATGTAATAATAAATAGCTGAATAATACTCCCTGGCATGTCTATACATTTTAGACAAGCATAGAATTGTTTTTCTTCAATTTTTTTTTTCAGTTTAGTTGTACTTTCCATTCACATTTGATTGTTTAGGAAACTGAATTTTGCTTTAGCACAATGCTTAGCTTGATACTCTGCCAATTTCTTGCTCTTCCACAGTTTATGATGTATTCAAACTAGAGGTTAGGTATTCATCTATCACTTCTGTCAAACCAATCTGAGAACCTGCCTTTTTTTTGATAAGAAGGATTGCTAATTTCATGTTGATTACAGCCCCCACAACCTCCAATCACAGTTCTATCTACTCCATTTCAACACTACTGTCAGAATTAGTCATACTGTAAAATAGCAGCATTTAGCTTTTGAAGTTTTTGAAATAAAAACTTCAAATTGGAATTAAATTGGAATGTTTACCTTTGCCCAGTCTGGATTTTCTTTTTTCCATCAGTTTTGGATGTTTTTGATGACATAGTTTTGCTGTTGCTCTAGACGTAGTGCTCTTTCTTTTTGCAAGCTGACAACCAGACTCTTTGATGATATAGCACTTTCATAAAAACAAATTAGAGTATTCAACCTGTGTTGCCTTATGCAATGCCTTCAGTCAATATTTACTTGAATGACTTTTAAGAGTTACTATATCTTCAGGAAACTGATATTACACAAAGCCTGGCTTGATGGTGGAACAACTACTGAGATTGGTTACAGGCAAGCATTGTTCCCCGGCTCTAGCATTGTTCTCTACACAACTACCTAACTGCTGGGCTGAGTTGATTATCACACTCAAAGATCAGCAAAAGTAACATTTTCCCTTTACAAGTACCAAAATACAGTGAATTACTCACAGCTGCAACAGGACAAAACATCGTAATAACAAAAGCATGTACATGTTATTTATTGATCTCCTCTTTTGGTTTAGCTCTTGCCTCAGCTCAGAGGCTCAAGGGTTTATCTATGTTCTTTTCTTATACCTGGTGCCAAGTACAGGCCTGTGTTATGGGTCATAAATATCAGTGAGTGGTGACGAGTATAGTCAATCCTTGGAGATACATGTGTGAAAGTACAATATATATGGTGAAATGGGAAAAGTTCCCTTGTCCCCCTCCCAGGTCATGTGATGGGGGTACAGCAGACTTCTTCAGTGCCCCACTGCTCAAACCTCTAGGGGAGCATACAGATGGGCAGGCTGTGGGGCTCTGACCCCAGGCAGTGTCTAGGGGTGAATGTTTTAAGCTCTTGAAGCCCCAGTGGGCGTTTGTTACAGGGTGCTTTTCTAGCTTGTCATCTAAAGGCGGCTTGTGTTAGCTCAGTTAGACCCTCCACCTTGTTGTAAGGACAGAGGGCTTTTTGTATCCTGGGTTTCCTGCCTTGGTGTACCAGAAGATTTGAAAACACGTGGGCTTGGAGAATGAGTGCAAGGTTCTATTGAGAGGAAGTAGCTTTCAGCAGATGGGGGAGCCAGAAGGGAAATGGTTTTCCCCTGGAGTTGGGCCGCTTGGCGGCCCAGGCTCTCCTCCGACTGCCCCAGCCAAACTCTGCATCTTTCTGCTGGTCAGTGGCCTGCCAGCATGCCGGCACCTGTCGGAGCGTTCGTCATGGGACCGTTCCTCTAGACATCCAGCCGTCTATGTGTTCCTCTGCTGATACACTACTCTGGATGTCCAGTTGCCTCTATCTCTGCCTTGCTAGGGTCTCTAGTTTTTATAGGCACAGGATGGAGGTGTGGCAGGCCAGGGTGGTCTTGGGAAATGCAACAAAAATACCTGTCCTCACCTAAGTCTGTAGGGGTGGAGCCCTAGCCAGGGACCATGCCCTTCTCTACCAGCACTCCCATAGCTATAGCAGTAAGTCAGGTGTGTTTTTAGCCAATTACACTAACTATCTTGGGCTAAGTGTAAAAGAAGTCAGGCAAGATTTGCAAAAAAACATGAAGATTTCTTCGTTTTTTTGAGCTTTTTGGAAACTTTAAATTACAATTATTGTTTTCATTTCCTGGTATAGAAAATGAAGCTCAGGTGGTTTCAGAATTATATAATGTGTCTCTATTCAATTATTCTTGCATAGTCAACCATTCTAATTAATGTGGTTTTTTATTCTTACAAAATGTACATTTTTTTTATGTGTACATGTATTTGGAGTTTAAGTATATGGTATTGCATTATATATCTCAATTTCTTTCTTACTATTCCTACCCAGAACTATGCT